AGTACATTTCCTATCAAGCACTTTTGCCTCTTCTTTGTTTTTCCCTACCATCCCTTCCCTCCTATCACCACTACACTCCCTTCCCCCTCCCCAGGCCTAAATTGTAAAGTTCGATGTCTTGTACATCGCATTCTTATATCTTAATTTGTTTCAGTTAATCCCTTTGAGGTTTCTATGTAAATCATTATATATAAAGAAGGTTTCTTTAAAATGAACATTTTTTTTTCTTTTCCATCTATTCTATTTCTGAAGATCTCTAATAATCTGCTATGCACTATTATCTGAGGTTGCAACAATGTTTTATTTTTATTTATCTTTTTTTTTTTTTTTGGTCGATGGTGGGGCCTGAACTCTGGGCTTGGGCACTGTCCTTGAGCTCTTCAGCTCAAGGCTGGTGCTCTAATCCTTGAGCCACAGCACCACTTCCGGCTTTTTCTGCTTATGTGGTACTGAGGAATTGAGCCCAGGGCCTCATGCATACAAGGCAAGCACTCTACCATTGATCCACCTTTCCAGCCCACAATATTTGATTTTTAAAACAAAAATACTATTCAGTTTTTTTTTTCTGTTTTACAGTTTTAGGTACAATTTATGTAGCTGATATTAGGACTTGGTATCTTTGAAGAGTCACCAATCACTTCATTACAGATGAATTTGTAAAAAATTATTTTTTATGTAGAGTAAGAATATCTAAATGAGCTGGTTGACAGTGAGTCATGCCTACAATACTAGATCACTAGGTCTTCTGAAGCTGAACAGTCTGTCAGATGTTTATTGACGAGCAAAATGCCAGAAAGGAAGGTTTGATGCAAGTGGGAGAGCTCTATCTGTGAATAAAAAAAGTCAATTGAGTGTGCAAGTTTCTGAGTCCAAGACCCAGTATACATACAGAGAGAGAGAGAGAGAGAGAGAGAGAGAGAGAGAGAGAGAGAAAATCTAAATAGAGAAATTAAGAAAACCAAAATGTTAACTCCTCTAGAAATGGTCATACTGAAAATTAAAAATGATCCTTAAAAAGATTCAAATAATCAAAAATAAATCCAACTCATTAGAATATTTAATGAAAGTATTAGTGAAAGAAAGTTTCTTAAGTGGAATAAGGTATATAATAGACAATGTCTATGACAAAGTTGGGCAGATCTATAACATGTCAGTCAACACATTAGAACAGATAATCTTCTTCTGCCAACTGCTATTGGCTCAGATATCTCACCCCTGTAAATATATATTCTACAAAATTTAAATGTTAATAATCTATAGGATATAATCTAATTTTTAAACTAATACCCTAAAATGCAGCACTAAAGATTTCATAAAAATTTATTTAAGGTGTAATAACTATAAATAGCAATTATCATACCTATAAAAATGATATTTCTCAAAATAATGACAGTAAGAGTTTGGGGGATATGTATTCCTAGAAGCTGATTCATATATAGATATTAAAATTTTGTATTGGTATGTCTATATGCATATATCCAAGAAAATTACTCTGAAAAGTTAATCTGAAGAATACTGTTTAAATAATATTATAAAGTTTAAATTTTAATTTTGATAAAGTTGATATATTTGTGATTCACTACTTGTGTATAATTTTAAATTAATTTATAATAATTCATAAGTTCAGGAAATAAAAATACCCAAATGAAAATCATAAAATATATAATTGAAAATCTTGTCATTGAAGCATGTTTTAATATTCCCTCCTTTTACCTCCAAGAGATGCCTATATGTTTACAAATACACGTACAACCCTACCATATCCAACACTGTTCCAGTGAAAGGGCTTTCTTTTAAAATAAGGAACGTCTGGATTCCAAAAATCACCAATTTGTTTAAAGTTGCAGGGCTTGGCATTGGAAAGTCTGTCTGAATTCAGAGTTTCTCCATTGTGGAAAATGGAAATTTATGTCAACTTAGTTTTTATTTCCTCAACAGTATACTTTTATTGTAAAGTTTATTTTTTCAAAATCATTTTTTTTGTTTCTTATTTGATCTCTCATTAAAGAATCTTACATATCCCTGAAAAACAGCTACCGACTAAGTTTTCAACATTTGGGCAGAACTCTTTCAAGACCCTTGGGGTAATGCCAGGAGACAACAAATCCAATGTGAATTTGGTCTGAATTCTCAACCAAATGAACACCTGCCGTCATTGTCCCCTGTCAATCCAGTTCTCAGCAAAGCCAGCTCTCTCTTTGTGGTAGAACCCATTCAACCAAGAAAAGGCCTGCCTGTGTTCCAAGCTAGATTTTTATCCTCAACCCACCCCCTCTTTTTTTTTTCTAACTAAATGACTCATTACTTGAGTATCTAGGAGATAGAGCTGATATTAAGGTTATTGTTAGTTATTTGGTGTGGTAATGCTCCACCTTAGGAGTTTGCTCAACTATAGTCTTGCACATTTAAATAGTCTTTCAGTCTCTTTCTCTCTCTGTTCCTCTTTCTCTCTGTTTGGGTGACTTTAGAAAGAACAAGCTTTTTTAGTGTAAAAAATATACATTTATAAGGAAAGCACAATCTATTTTTAACATCTGTTTTCTCCAATTTAGCAGAAACAAATAATTCAAGAAGTAAAGCTGATAATATTTTTCCTATGGGTAACCAATGTTCATTGTTCATTCTTAGTCCTGGATTCATATTCCTTTGCATTGAACATTTATTTTTCACCAAAATAGGAAGGGTTAAAATGGAGATAAATGCTTTTTTTATAGTAGCATAAGACCACTTTGCTTTGTGAAATATAATATCACTATAACTTAAAAATGAGATTTTTTTTTAAGAAGGAAACTCTGTGACTATGTTTGACAGTAATTGGATACATAGCTGTGAACAATCTTGATATTCCTATTTCGTAGTCGACCAGGATATTGAAAATGTTTTAAACACTTATACACTAGAAAACTAAAACATGAAGGATTTTAGTAAGTTTTATGAGAAGTGCTATTTCTATATGCATTATGTATATCTTTGTATCCTTTCAAGTAATTCAATTACTTGATTTTTTTTTTATTATTTGTACAGAAAAGAATTGCAGTTAACTCTCATCATTCAGGAAGAAGCAATCTCTGCCATCTGCAGTGGGCATTGGTCCCTGTCTTGTTGGGTCTCATGCTTTGTTATGCATGAGTAAGCACATTAGCCTTTTCATTTCATTCATTAGACTTATAATACTTGATTAGTGTTTTCAAGAATCTCTCAAAGACACAACTTCTTTATTTCTTTTGTGTTGGCTTTTCATTTATCTCTTATATGAAACAAAATTAACATTCAATCACAACAATAGACCTTTTCTATTGAGGTTATTGGTAAATATATTAGTTTCTCATTTGAGTGATTAATCATGTATGGATGAAGAATAGGAAAATATCCCCTCACTTGGAATTGCTGGATTAACTGTTTAATATCAGCTGGAGCACTCTGTCCTTAAAAGGTTGGGATCACAATAATCCACATATCTTACTTACACATTCCAAGCAATTTCTGCGTCCAAAAAAAAAAAAAATCTCTGAAATCATTTCCTAAAAGTAAGACTCATCTACGGTAAATCTTAGAGTTAATTTATACTTGTTGACAATTCTCCAAAAACACATTATTTTCTTTGTTGCACTTCTACATTAAGCAAGGTAGGTCACAAAGCTGTTTTGTGGTGTGGTCAGTTATTAATTACACATCCACCACCAAGAGAAAACTCAAGTCCAACATTGCACCTTTTCTAAATCAGAATCCTTATACCATTTATTTCCACCCACAATTATTTTCAAATATTTGGAGTTTTCCATTTAATCAGTTTTCTACTTAGTTTATCATTGTAACTCTTCTTTTTTAATATTTATTGTAAAAATACTGTACAGAGTTACATGAATAAGATAATGAGTACATTTCCTGTCGAGCATTGTTACCTCCTCCTTTGTTTTTCCCCTACCATCCCTTCCCTTCCTACTTCTCCAACTCCTCCCTCCCCCACCCCTAAATTGTAAAGTTTATTTTCAACATAGTGTCATGTACATCTCATTGTTATAATGGCTCAACTTGTATCCTTATTTCATCGTTTTGTTATTTCCCTTCCCCTCCCCAAATTAAAACAAACAAATAAAAAATGTATATACAAGATTCAGGGCACCAACATCAAATACAGGGAAAACAGGGGTTATACTGTGGGGAAAATATGGTATATTTATACAATGAAATTTTATGCCTCCATCAGAAAGAATGATATCACCCCATTTGTTAGGAAATGGAAAGACTTGGAAAACATTATATTAAGTGAAGTAAGCCAGGCCCCCTAAAAGTATAGGTCCCATGGTTTCCCTTATTTTTAATAACTAGTATAAGTCTAGGACAAGCAGAAAAGGTCAAAAGCTATGTACATATGACCATATAAGATGATGTTAAGTGAAATGAACCACAAGATAGGGACACCAGTGTTTTTTTTTTCTTTCTTGCTACTGTTTTTAACATGTACTATGTGATTTTGTTTATCATTATAACTCTTTTTTAAAAATCTTTTCAATTTCTATTTGGCATTTGTGAAAATATGTGCTACCATATTTAAATATGGGGTCAAAGCCAGTTATTAATGCATGGGTTTATTTATGACAAGTTATTAATTTATCTTTAATTTATTTTATAAATTGTTTATTATTTAGATTATTAATTTATTTTCTAACTTAAACTGAAATTATTTCCTAAATGTAACTATGACAAGTAACCAATCAAAACATGACTAATTACATAAACCACACTAACAAAAAATTTATATTGATTAGATACCTTGGCAATGATATTGTGAAGCAAGAGTTAATTTTAAAATAGTGTTTATCTGGACATACAGCCACATGCCTATAATCCTAATTCTGGTTACTGGTAGCTTGGGCTACATAGGGGGACGTTATCTCAAATCATGTGGTTTTTAAATTGTTTTCTTCTCTTAATTTTTATTTCCATAATATAACAAATTACAAACTATCCTGTTTTTGTTTTCCTGTTTCTTCCCTTAGGATGCCTCCATTGCACATAGATTCCACATCATGAGAGAAAAACACCCAGAGAAGTTCAATAGTAGGTAAGAGGACAAGTGGTGCGTTGGTAACTGTGGCTGCTGTTGATGAGTTGTATTATAAGAATATGGTATAAATTAGTTTTCATGTTATTACTGAATAAAGCACAGAGCATAAGTAACTACTAAGCACCAAGTTTAACTTGATTTTTCCCTAGGTTTTATTCAGACTCTGGTGGGGGGAAAAATGTCATCTTTTCCACACTCTTGTATTCTCAAGGAAAGATTTCAAAATACTTTGAAAACCATAGCCTATTAAGAAATAGTAGAGATCTTTACATGGCTTAATATCGTCATGATTATCATCTTTAATCCCAAAGAAAAATATGGGGTTTTGATTTGAAGATGCCATGTAACTTCATAATATAAAAATAGCTTATAAATCTCCTAACTTTATGATTACTAATCTTATATGGGCTTCAAGTAAATACAGAGGAATACCACTGACAACAAATTTTTTTTGAAGACTTTTTCTTCCCAGGGAAAAAAATATGATGAATAAATTTGTTTTCCTACAATAACAATAGGCAAATAATTTTTCCCTCTAACTGTAGACGTTGATCTTCCAGTCACTCAGGGACATAGGGAAAGCTTGGTTCTGGATTATCTCCGCTTCTAGAAGTAGCTCTCCCTATCTCACTGCACTGTACAAATAGACTTTCAGAATTGAATCATCTCTGCATCTGTTAACAACCATTTGTAGCCTATCCACTTCACAAAGTTACAAAACCGTGATCAGTAGTTCTCCATAGATATCTTTGTGGGATTATTCATTAATGTTCAAAAGTCAAAGGCCCTGATCTCTGTGTTTGGCTAAACTGACATCTAGGCATGAATACTATAGATGACATATTAGAAAAGTGCCCTGGAAATTTTTGTTTATTCAAATTTTCGTACATGCTGGTGCACAGACATTATTCTATTCTATATGCATGCATAATAAATAAATTCTATTAAAATGTATTTCAAAACTTCTTTTTGATCTTTCACTTGTACTACATTATTTAAGAATCATATTTAAAAAACAGATGAATGAGCCGGGCGCTGGTGGCTCACGCCTGTAATCCTAGCTACTCAGGAGGCTGAGATCTGAGGATCGCGGTTCAAAGCCAGCCAGGGCAGGAGAGACCGTGAGACTCCTATCTCCAATAAACCACCAGAAAACCGGAAGTGGCGCTGTAGCTCAAGTGGTAGAGCGCTCGCCTTGAGCTGAAGAGCTGAGGGACAGCGCCCAGGCCCAGAGTTCAAGCCCCATGGCGGACCAAAAAAAAAAAAAAACAGATGAATGATTAGTGAGGGCCTATTTGATCTTTTATTAAAATTTCTTAAATATTTTAGTAAAACAAATGCGTATTTCTAACACCTATCTCAGCCTCAGATAAAGCTGTTGTTCCTTTATTTCTACAAAGAGTTGTTTCTTATTCTATAAAATATCAGTCAAGACTTTGATTGTCTTGTTCTCATATTTATGAAAGCAATAATTTTTGCTTTAAAGGAAATGAAAAAAATCATGTATCAGTATGTATGTGTGTACAAAGTATCTTTAGAAGGATTCAGGAAAGTCTGGTTATCCAAGGGGTTTTGGTAGCTGGATTTTTCTTGTTCACATTTTGTGCAGATTGATTTCTTAATGCCACATATATTTCAAAATTAAGCCCAAAATATTCTAATTATAATTTATACTTTTAAAAGGTATACCTATAATAAGTAGTTATTTATGACAGTTTTGCCCAAAAGAAACTGACATGATAATGAAGGTGTGTGTGTGTGTGTGTGTGTTTGTGTGCGCGCGCGTATGCGTGCGTGCACTGTGGATTTCAGCACAATAATACACATCGTAGTTCAGAAAAAATAGAGCTATTAATGTTTATGGCACCATTTTAATAAAGTATAATAATCTATGATTTCCCAAAAGTAATTATGAGTTTATACTCAAATATTAAAATATGTTTCAGACTGAAAAGATAAAAGTGTTTAAATAATGCAAAATGCAATGTACTGCTCCCACCCCACCTCCAAGGGCCCTATCATCTCAGAGTATCGTGAAGTCTTTAAGAAACTACTAATTCCCCACATTTATTCCCGGGGGAGGGGGGGAAGATAGGGATAAAAAACATAATTTAAAAGAGAGGGTGGATTAAGAAAATAAGTCTAAATAAATACACATATTATTCAACGATGTCTGTTTAATTTTTATTATCAATAGCCCTACTAATTTATAACATTCTTTACTGCCCAATACGTGATTAAATATATTTGCAATAACATGTTTGTAATGCCTCAGTGTTTTTACAGGATGTAAAACTATGCCTTGTTAAAACTTGTTTGTTTATATAAAGCGTGAGTGAATCATGCTTAGGGAATGTGTCACTGGAAACAAAAACAGGGAACATAAATCTTCTAGAAAGGTAACGGGTTACATGCTCTTACAGTGAGGTGGAAGAGCACTAGTGGGCTGTGGCAGAGGAACTCCTTGCAACCACACTGTGATGTTCCGAAGTGGCCTAGCCCCTGTAGGGTCCCTATGAGCAGCCAGTTACAGGCTGAGATAGAGCAGGAGGCAGAGAATTGATTCAGGAAGAGGGGCTTCCCCAGCATCTTCCTCTCACCCTGGTGAGAGACGTCGGGGAGGAATGTGGGAAAGCTACTCTATTTCATTCCGATGACCTTGGGTGACATATCTGAATACACATCACATGTGAATCGTACAGATAGAATTGGCGTGGCCAAAGGTGCATGAGATCTGGCCATCTCAGGCCTTACCGAAGGATCCACACAGATGCCATTCTCCTCAGACCCACAAACATCAATGGACAGATAAATGGTCCTCATTTTCCTGGTCTTTGGGTCAATGTCACCTTCCCTTCATTTAGATCCTTTCTGACTCGGACCAGCTCCTCGTTTTGGCAGACACAAGATTAGCTGACAATAAAGGAAGAATCAGAAACTCTGGAGCCCACTCTGATCCTCTCAAAACCCTCCAACTCTCTCGTGGATACTCTCACTCTCTAGGTCTACCTATTTTTTGCTGACTTTACCTAAAAGGGAAGCTGGAACACAGCAGAGCTTTAAAAGGTCAATTTTGTGTCACTCTCAACTTGACACTCTAGTGACTTTGTGTTGTCTGAAACATAAATCCCAAGTTCTTTTTTCTTGTTGTTAGAGTTTCCAGAGACAGACTATATTTAAACCAGAAATTTACCACTTATTCACCATAAGACCTAGAGAAAGGTCTTTGGTAGTATGTCTTTCTTTTCTTTTTCTTTGTCTTATTTATTGTAAATATGATGAACAGGGAGGTTAGAGTTACATAGGTAAGATAATGGATACATGTCATTTTAGACACTGTTACCCCCTCCCCCATTTACAACTTGGGGGGAAGGGCAGTGAGGAGGGGAAAGCAAGAGTATGTCTTTATTTTCCTTTGGAAAATGAGAAGGAAGTCTTGGACTATTTTAGGCAGATAATATGTACCACATCTGATTCTTTGGAGCTTACTAGCAGTGTACCTAGGGTCACTTTTTGTCCCTTTCTTCTTGATACAAGCTTGAATAGAGTGATTCACCATAGGGTATGTGTTTCAGTCACAAATCACTTCTACAAACCGGGTGCTGGAATTAACACTCACAGGTACAATTACACTGATCAGAGAGATTGCAAGATAAGAGAGAGCAAGCAGATACACTTTGCCTTCTTTATTCCTTTCCACAAAGTTTCTGAAAAGCACCTTTTAATAAAACAGTAGTCTTGCCCACTGCTGTAATCTAGCTACTCAGAAGGCTGAGAACTGAGGATAGAAGTGGGTGGTAAGCCAGCCAGAGCAGGAACATCTATGAAACTCTTAACTTGAATTAACTACCAAAAAGCCAGAAGGGGAGGTGTGGCTTAACTGGTAGAGCGCCAGCCTTGAGTTAAAAAGCTAAAGGACAGTGTCCTTCTCTGAGTTCAAGACCTAGTACAACCATGCATGTGCGCACACACACACACACACACACACACACACACACACACGAAGTTTATAAAAAGATTTTGTAGGAAAGCACTGGACCCAGTTGCCATGCTTCTTCAGGGCTTGTTAAAAAGTCATTTTCAGCCTTGAAATGCATCCTGTTGCATTACTTCTTACTCCTCCAACTTAACTTCCATTTTTTTAAAATTTTATGCTGCTGAGAATGTGTACATCCCAAACAAACCAGCAGTTTTTAAGTTTTTGTTAGCCTCTACTTTCTAGGTGACTTGGTGTGGGGGGAGAGAATAATATTCAGATAAACACCTGGCAACTTTTCCTTCTCCTCCTTCTTCTTCTCCCATTAAACCTAGGTAAATGAACTACCAAATTTCTGATATTAAAGAGCCTATGTTGCCCTTTTCTCTTCTTAAAGAATTAAAGGGATAATTATTCTGGCAATTCAACATGCAAATTAGAACCTTATTTCTGGGTACAACAAGATGTTTACTGACCATCCAGCTGATACATGGGAAAAGAACTTGACCAAGCTGTCAGGTGACAATATGGAATCCCAACCAGGATCCACCAGCTCAATTGGTAGGTCTCTTTCATAAGAGAAACTTAGCATTTGTCAGTGATGCTCTAACCTAGTCCAGTGTCATATGTTGAACTAACCATATGAGATGAACTAAGCCTAATTCCTATGCTAAAGGAACCATCTTGGTATCAAGTCTGAGGTTCACCTAGAAGTAATGGCCATAGAGAAGAGAAACTCCTTCAGAGAATGGTTGGAAAAGCTTTCTGGTGGATGAGATAGACATTTGAGTCTAGTAAAAAAAGCAATTCCTCTGGAGTATATTCTTAAAAGAGGATCACAAGGGCTCAATAACTACATGCATATGAGCATATAAAATGATGCTTATTGAAATGAACTCCAAGAAATGGAAACAACAGTTGTTTTGTTTTTTTAATTGTACAGTTTGTGGTTCTTTTTTTTTTCATTTTTTCCCCTTTGGTCGCTGTTTTTGATTTTACACCCTTTGTCTCATATGTAAGT